TCGTTAATCCTTCAAGGTCGGCCTCAGCTTGACTGCTTTTAGGGCTGCTTTAACGAAAACGTGGTCTCGGCATAGTTGATCTTACCCGGAATTTTTCGTTTGCTTTTTTTTGGAGGGGTTGTTTGGTTTTGCTTAAAACAACCCTGCGGACCACAAAGGGGGTTAGAAAGGGAGGGGCAGAATGAGTCGATTTCTCGAGAAGCTCAAGAAAGTTCAGGCATCTGGAAACGTATTTGGTTGTAGTTTTAAACAAAACAAAAAAAAGGTATAAATTCTAAGTGGTTGGAAACGAAGATGTGTGTGACTCCAGCTGCTGAGCATGGCGCAAACCCAGGACCTCTGGGCGCTGGACGATGGGGGAAGGGAGGGGATTCTGCGGGCACCACGCGGTCAGCCCAAAGGGCGGGCTTCCCACGCGGACGCAAAACTATTTTCCACCCCTCCTAACAGCTACCTCCCTCCTTCTTCCTTGGGGGTTGGAGTTGGGGGCGAGCAGTTAAAGGGCAGGAAAAATGAGCGCAAGAAAAAAGGAACCCGATCCGACCCCTCAATCACAACAAAACCATTGAGGGAGCAAAGGGTTATTTTCGCGCCACAAAAGATGGAAATCCAGGGGCGGCTCGGGGGCCAATGGGTGGAAACCAGCAAACGGCTCGGGAGGAGGCAGCCAACGGTGATAGGCTGCCTTCCTCCGCCAATCGGGTGAGAGGACCACCCCCGCTAGCCAGGGGCGGTGTCTCTCTCGACGCCGGTTGCTCAACTTGGTCTTGGAGCCCCGCCCCGGGGACGCTTTCGCGCGCCGTCTCGCGGCCCGGCCCCGCCCCAGGCGGAGACACTGGGATCTGCGAGGGTTTCTGGTTCGCTTTCTCCGTGGGTATCGAGCATCTCGAGCCCAGGGGAGCCCTTCGCGTGCCCGAAACTCAGGCCGGAGGTGCGGGAGGGTCACCAGATGTACACTGCCAATCGGATCCCGCGGCTCGCGCCCGGGCGCGGGGAAAGCAAGGATCTCAGGTGGGGTTGCTCCGCGAGGGGAACCGTAGAGGCTCCCCCCGGCCCTCACGTCTAGCCTCGCCACGCGGCTCCTCGCGGAGGGACGCACCCCAAGGCGGAGCCAGAAGCGCGCTGTCCCGCGGCAGGACCAGGGGAGGGCCGTCCAGTGGTCAAGGCCCTGCCAGGCGGCAGGCGATCCACGAAAGACCTTCCCTAGTGTTGAGCTGGGAGGATCCCGCCCTCTTTCTCCGGGCAGAGCCGGAGGAAAATGGAAACAAAACCACCCCATCTCCTGGGCACTTTTTTTTTTTTTTTTTTTTAATTTTTAAACAAAAATAAATGACAGATTCTGGAGCGTGGGCAGAACCAGGTACCGCTAATCAACCCACTAGTTTAAACAGATCAGAGCCCAGTAGAGCTGTTTGAAAGACTAAGAGTGTGTTAAAAATGCCTCCTATGAGGCCCTGGAGACGCGGCGGGCATTGTTGTGCCCACTCGCGTGAAGGTCGGGAGCGGGGTGGGAGCGACAGGATTGCCCTTTCCCCCCACGCCTGCCCAGCATTTCCCCCACAACCTGTGGATGCGGCATCGGTAACCGACCTCCTATACGTACCTTTTCTCCTGTAATATTGCACTGACCACAAGAAACATTTTTACTGTCCGTTAGGTCAGCAGATGAGGTGCAACTGTCCAAAGAGTAAACAGATGAGCGGGAGTCCTTTCTTTGTGGAATTAAAATTAATTCGAAGCCACAACTGTTTCAAATGAACTTGGAGTAGTCCAGATTCAGTTAATTGGTGTGAGATTAATAAAGACAGTAAATTATACCGACTTATATTCATGCTTAAAAATCCACCGAAGATATTTTTGCACTCAGTTACCCATGATCTTTTTACTCTGCCGTTGAGTATATATCCCTCAGATGCTTGCAAGACTGTAAGTAGGTTATATCCCTGTCCCTTTTTGATGTCTGAGTTTTTATTGCTCGTGTATGTTTTTAAGTTCCTAGCCAGAGTATCCAGTTTATTACAATAATACACAGATTAAGTTCACAAGAGTCCCAGGAACACATTTCATCAAAACAGCACACATTTGTTTTAAATTCCAGCTGTTAGATTTGTTTGATAGTGACAGATAAGCATGGGCTAATATTTATGAAAAATAAACAATTTTCCTCATGGTTTACAAGTAGTTATTTCCTTTGGTCTTGGTTTTAATAAGAACAAATACAGTCAACTATCCAGAAGCCACCATTCCCATCAACTTTGGAAGCAAGCTGAATATAACAAACCTGTTGTTATGAAAAAAATTAACTAAGAGTTAAATGACCAACAGATTGTAATATTTAAAGTGATCTTTAGAAAAGCAAATACAAATCAAAAACATTTCTCCAAATAATTTTTCATCACATGCAACAGGTACTTAAAAAAATAAATTCATAACTTTATATTGACAGAGTACCAAAGAAGTCATAAGCATACATTGTATTTTTCCCTTTTTAGAAAGGGAAAGAAGTCATAAGCATACATTGTATTTTTCCCTTCTTGAAAAGCACGAAAGTGAAAAATAGTAGGCTCTCTAAAGAGAAATTTCGCCACTGAAATATTTCCATATTGAGCTCATTAATACAGTTCTAAACACTGACACAAAAACACGTTTTTCCCATCTCAAAGTTAAAACATCTCACTAAATTAAACTAAATGAAAATATTGTGAAAGTGTGTTTACATTTATAAAGTTGAATTTGCTTGGCAGGAAAGAAAAACCTGTTAGAACAGTGGCATTTAAAATGGATGATCTGACACCTTCCGGTTACTGAACATAAAATTCTAAGTTCCTTTTAAAAGACAAAATATAAAGACCCTTTATATCCTGAAATAATTCCAATGTTTAAAAATAATCTGCTATTCACCTTTTAATTGGAAAACATCCTTTTAAGTGCCACAGTTTTGACAGAGACTCAAACTTTATCAGTTGTCAATTACTAATGTTTCCAATATAAATCACAATTATTTTTCTCTTCACACACTTTTCTATTAAGAATATCAAGTTATGAGTGTTTCTATTTCCATGCAAAATAGAATTTTACATTTTAAAAATTAGCTTTTTATCTTTTTCATGAAATACTTGTTAAAAATATATCACAAGTATCTGATACAAACGAAGGCTTTTGAGTGCAGTACACAACCATTAAACGAAGGTGGGAGATTTCCACAAGAACCTCAGCACTGCCTCTGTTTCCGTATTCCTGGTGTCCAGTTCACATTTTGTTGGCCCTGGAAGGCTCCACCGGGCCCAGACCCTCCCCCACTCACCAACCATTGTACTCCTTACATACAGGAAAAATTATGAATGGCTCGCATGGTCTAATGCAGGCAGAAAGAGACTCCAGCAGTTTTTCAAGAGCGAATACCACCTAGGGGAAACGCAGAGCAGTCTTCCTGTTTAAGAGTCCCAAGTTCTCCAACTAAAATCATTTAAATGAAAGTGCTAGCCTACCCAGACCCTCCCCCTCTAAGAAACCACAGGAAGAGAGGGTTTCCCTTTAAGTACCGACTTTTCCCACTTTGACTTTGCTCCTCCGGCTGCCCAAACCCCCGAGGTCCCCATCCCCACAGCAGAAACCTCCGCTCCTGCGCTCCCTTCCCCCACCGGTGGCCAAGCCCGCCCCCGGCCTCATTTATCCCTGAGTCTTTCTGAACCGAGCAGCCAATGGCAAACGCGAAGCCTAGAGCCACCGCGAGCTCAGGCGGAGGAGGTGTCGCCCAGACACCCGCCCAGGACGCCGCGGGCTCCCCTCCCCCACCACCCGGGCCCCCGGCCGCCCCACACCCCGCTGCCCGAGGCCCGAGGAGGGTGCAGAGGGTGCGGCGCGTCTGCCCGCCTCTCCCGCCCCCACCCAACCCACTCCCTGTCTGCGTTTCCGCCAGCCCTTGTAAACGTGCTCGAGTCTTTGCCGGGGTTACACTCCTCCTTGTCATCAAAGCCACCAGGCGAGTTCAAGATTGTGACTGTTCGGTTTTGTTGTTAATCACCTATTTTTAAAAATCGAATGATTAAAACTAGAGGAGCTAGAGCTGAGCAATTGTCAAGTTAGCACCGTTACTCTTTTCCTTATTTAAAAGGAAAATCAGTATTCTAACCCTTCCTCCCTTCTCGGATCCGCCCTAACCAGATAACCCTTTCTAAACTCGGGTGGTGACAATCAGCTCCCCGCGCGGCACTCCCCTCTGCAGCCCGGCTGCGGCTGCTTTAGCATTTTTCCCTACTCCTCCTCCCCCTCCTCAGGGTCCCTCGCCCAATCTCGTTTCCCCTCCCCCTCTTCCTCTCGCTTGCTCTTTTTTTTTTTTTTTTTTCCTCCCTTTCCTCCGAAACCCACTCTAATTGAGGCGCTGGGATTCCTCACGTGAGACGTTGATTTGTAGTTTGAACACGTGGCTCATTCAAAAAGCCGGACACTCCGAGCGGATTTTTTCCGCCTCCTGCGCCTTCCTCCCTCCTCCCCGTCTCCCCTCCCTCCTGCCAGTCACCCTTCTGGGGCCCGGCTGCGGCTGCTTTAGCATTTTTCCCTACTCCTCCTCCCCCTCCTCAGGGTCCCTCGCCCAATCTCGTTTCCCCTCCCCCTCTTCCTCTCTCTTTTTTTTTTTTTTTTTTTTTTTTCCTCCCTTTCCTCCGAAACCCACTCTAATTGAGGCGCTGGGATTCCTCACGTGAGACGTTGATTTGTAGTTTGAACACGTGGCTCATTCAAAAAGCCGGACACTCCGAGCGGATTTTTTCCGCCTCCTGCGCCTTCCTCCCTCCTCCCSGTCTCCCCTCCCTCCTGCCAGTCACCCTTCTGGGTTTTTTATGGGGAGGCGGCGCCTGCCTCTCGTAGTGTGATATTTTCACAGTCCTCTGGCCGATGCCAAAGGGGTTGGGGAGAAGAGACAAAAAGTAGTTTTTTCCCCTCCTCCTCCTCCTTTCTCTCGCTAATCCCGCCTCCTCCTCAGAGTTAGGAAGAGTCGTTGATGCGTTTGGGTTGTAGCTAGGCTTTTTCTTTTCTTTCTCTTTTTTTAATACTTGGAAAAACAAGAACCCTCGGATCCGATTTTTCGCTTCTCGTTCTTATGCTTGGTTCTTACTGTGTTTGTGTATTTTAAAGGCGAGAAGACGAGAACAAAACCCTCCGGATCCATCCATCACCGTGGGTGGTTTTAATTTTTCGTTTTTCTCCTTTTTTTCTAAAACGACCACTCTTAACAATGAACAAACTGTATATCGGAAACCTCAGCGAGAACGCCGCCCCTTCGGACCTAGAAAGTATCTTCAAGGACGCTAAAATCCCGGTGTCGGGACCCTTCCTGGTGAAGACGGGCTACGCGTTCGTGGACTGCCCGGACGAGAGCTGGGCCCTCAAGGCCATCGAGGCGCTTTCAGGTGGGCCCCAGCCCGGGCGCCCGTCCGCCCCGGCCCTGCGCCGCCTGCCCTAGCGGGCCGGGCGTCTCCGCGGGGCCCCAGGCCCGGCCCGAGCTTGGAGCGGGGGTGAGGCCCGAGCGCTCACACGCGTAGGGGCACGGGGCTTTCCTCGGCTTCAGCTGCAATTTGGGGTCCGCGACTCGCCCCCCGGGCCACGTTCGCCCGGCGAGGGCAGACGCGCTGTCAAGACCGCCCCGGCGCGGGCTGCAAGGCGCGCTCTCCCACCGCCCCGCCCGGGCCGGGCCCAGCGCGTGCTCCAGGCCCGGGGCCTCCGAGGCCGGGCGCAGACGCGCGCTTGTTTCTTCTTCCTTGGTGTTTTCCTCTGGACGTTATTTACAGCGTCTGCTTCTCTGTCCCCCGGCCCTGGAGAACAGAAAGTGCCCTCGACCCAGTGCCCGTGAGGCCGCGCGGGCTGGTGCCTCGCACAAGCGGCCCAGCGCTCCCTCTCCACCCTGCTGGAGAGGAGCGAATGGGCCGGATTACCGGGTTCCACTTCACCCCGTCGGACAAGCAAGGGGGCAGGTGGGCGGAGGCGGCCGCCTGTCTCCAGAAAGGGAGCCACAGCCACGGTGCTGCGCCTTTAGCCGCTCTCCCAGCCCCAGCATTGGGCGACTGCGGCCTCTGGGGGTGACTGGGTGCGCTCGGCCCCGGGGACAGTGCGTGGTAGGACCGCAGGCTGGCGTGGGACACTCAAAGGAAAGCTGCAGTGGGGACCCTTTGGGAATCCTGTGCCTTTTGGCTTCTTTATAGCTCAGACTTGATGGGGACGCTTAGCCGCCGGTGGCGCCTGGGTTCAGTTGACTGAGCTATATCTCTGGCTGTACACTCTTTCTCCTTGCTGTCCCCGACCCCTTCCTGCCACTCCCTGCCCTCTCCACCGCGAAGTGTTCGGGCCTGGGTTTGAACAGAGAGAAGGGCCTGGGCGCCCCCTCCCCCGAGTTTGTCCCGTGGGGAGTGTCCAGGAGATGAGAGTAGTGGCCACCTCCCTTTTGCGGACCTTGGGTTGGGTGACTCTTTGATGTGGGGGGAAAGGCGGCGGGGAGGGGGGAGGGCTAGAATGTTACCCAGATCGTGAGTCCAACACTTGATCTCTTTCCTCAACCATCTGTAAGTTTAAAACCCACACCCACCTGAGGGGGTCAGCTTCCTATTTAGTGGCCCTGGTTACTCTCTTCAGCCTTGAGCCTCGTCCGGGCCCTGGGGTCCATTCCGAGTGTCAGGAACCATTGGTGTCGTCGCTTAGTCTGTGCAGGTCTTTAGGGTAGGGAGAGCCGCTGAACCTGACCGACGGTCTCACCTCTTGTATTTCCACAGGTAAAATGGAACTGCACGGGAAACCCATAGAAGTTGAACACTCGGTCCCCAAAAGGCAAAGGTGAGCTTGCTTATTTTGTTCTTACCCAGTTTTGAGGAGGCAAGACAAAACACAGCTGAAAACAATTTCTTTTTCTTTTATACTTAAGTGACTGCAGTATGGCTTGGCCTTTCTTGTCTTTTCCCTCGGTTTAAGTTTATGGCAAGGCTGTTTGTTGATAATTCTGGGAAGGAATAGAGGGCTTGTCTGTGGCCCCTGCTGCTGGTTTATTGTTACTGGTTATAAAAGTCTGTCAAGGAAGCTCTCGCAGCTAACGTTCTTTGCAGAGCAGGTCAAGTTACTAGAGCAGGAAATCAATCTCTAGGATCAGTCTTTGAGAATCTGCCAGATTTAGGAAGCTATGGATGATCCCCATACCTGCAGGTCCAGGATAGGTGAAGGTAGCTGTCCATTTCTTTTGGTGTGGCAGCCCTGCCTTCTCTTTCTTTGGTTGAGACACCATGGTGGGTGCTTCTGAGAGGAAAGGTTTTTTTTTTTTTTAAAACCCTGTATGCTGGCTAGTGGGTGTTGGAATATGTGAGTGAACCCAGAAGTGCCTTTCAATCACTCCAGAGTTATGCAGGTTTCTGCAAACACTGCCTTTGTCCATGCTTCCTGGCCCTTTGGTATGATTTCTGCATACAAATAACCACCCAGAGATAGTGAAGTCTGGAAGATTTGTGCTATTTCAGCAGTGGGATTTCTCTTTTCCAAGAGCATATGTAGTGTGTCACTTTACAAAATATTTGCAGACTCTTTAGCCACTGAAGTGTTTTGAAGAAATGGCTTCTTTCTCTAGTGCAGGCCTGTTCAGGGCTCTGTAATTCTAACTGGAAAGGAACTGGTCCCTCCCAGTGCCTCTGGGGTTGGCCTGTACCCTTCTGAGTTTTGCAAAGTGGGGTTAGGGTTACTGCCTTCTACCTTCCCCCATCCTGTGCCAAACAATAAGCTTGAAGTTAATTCAAACCAGGTCTGCTTGTGTCTCTTAAGTATTGGTGAGTGTGTGTGTGTATGTGTGTGTGTGTGTGTGTGTGTGTGCTGGAGAGCCTGAGGGGTTAGCTTTGCAGAGATAGGTGGCAGGAAAAAAAAAAAAAAATTCTGCCTGTTTCTAGATTGAACTTTTTTCCCCCAGGCACAGCATTTTCACATATCTTGTTTATAGTGCAGAACTGGTTTGGATTTTTGTGGATTTCTTTCTTTATGTGCTTAATTTTCATTAGGATAATTGGAGAGATAGTCAAGTGACCTTATTTAATTATAGTTGGGCATTTTGGTAGGAATCAAGTTATAGTATGGTATACTTCTTTTTAAGAACCTTCTAAAATAATGGGTACTGAAAAGTATCTAAATTGATCTTAGTTTTACAGGAATTGAAAAATGAAGGGAGAAGTCATATCCCCTTAAAGAAAGTTGAAAGATAAAATCTATGAGTTGATTACCTTGGGTAAAAAAAAAAAAAAACAACAAAAAAAAAACTGTAAGCACATTCTACAAATTCTAATTGGTTTCATGTTTAGTCAATGTGTTTTCCTTTTTTTTTTTTATTCTGGAGATTGAATCCAGGTCCTCAAGCATACTAAGGAAGCACTCTACCACTGAGCTCCTTTCCCAGCCCTTAGTTTTCATCAAATGTTATATTAAAGATAGGCAAATGATTTTATTTGAAGAATTCGCATTTTAGCATTTCAGAGTTTCTAAATGTCTTGAGTTCTACAGTTCATTGACCTGCATGTAATTCACCTTATCCTCTGCTTTTCTTTTCCAATCTGAGTTTAGTTTCTCCACACGTGTAGGGAATTAAATTAGAAACATTGTCTGGTAACAACTGTTTTATTCTTAAAGGCTTTTGCTGCAGCCTAAAAATATGCTTAGTTACTTGTTACTTTATAATAAACACCAGTTCCTCTTTTGGAAAACAGAAAGCAAAATGTTACCAGTAGCAGCAAATATTTATCAGTGGAAAACTTCTTCACTTTATTAACAATGTAGATTAAATTTTCAAGCTCATTTTTCACTAGCTAAAATGCTTAGGATTTTAAATGATAGTATTTTGCTAGCAAAGTAAACAGGACTGAGTACATTGGAGACTTAAAAACTGATTTGAAAGAACAGCTGAGTACTATAAATCCTTTGCTTCTGCTGAAATGTCTTAAAAGTAGAGCCTTCTTTTTCTGCCTTGGTAAATTTGCTGGAAATCTACATTACAATTTTGCTTTAACTGAACCTTGGAGCTATGATGTAGTTTTCCTTATCTGGATTGTTTCATCTGTGCAGGGTCTGGAAGAGGGCCAAGAAGGCATCCTGGGGACCATGTGCCCAGTACCTATGGCTAGGTTAAGAGGTGGCAATGGTGGGGTTTGATAGCAAGTTGATTGCCTCAGGTCAATCCTGTAAGCCTGCTGGATTTCAGGTGGTGTGGTGTTATTTATTTATTATTTTCTGGACCTTGGTATTGAACCCAGAGGCTCTTAACCACTAAGCCACATCCCCAGCCCTTTTTATGTTTAATTTTAAGACAGGGTCACGCTTAGTTGCTTAGGGCCTCAATAAGTTGCTGAGGTGGACTTTGAACTTGTGATCCTTCTGCCTCAGTTTCCCAAGCTGCTGGGATTACACATATACACCACAGTGCTTGGCTCCAGATTGTGTTCTTTTTTGTTTGTTTTGTTTTGCTTTTAGTTGTAGATGAACACACAGTATCTTTATTTTTATGTGGTGCTGAGGATCAAACCCAGTGCCTCACATATGCAAGGTAAGTGCTTTACCACTGAGCTACAGCCCCAGCCCCCAAATTGTGCTCTTAATGCTTAGAAGTAGTTTCATTCCATCCCATCATCATGTGAGCATCTGAGACAGCCACACCCCTTTGTGTAGCAGTGACCTTTATACCTGCTGTGCAAGGCATGTTGGGAACCTGGTGCCAGAGAATGCTTATGGCAGCACTCTGAGATGGATGAATGGACTTGCACTGACTAAACAGGGGAGCAGGTCCAGGAGGTGATTGGATGCTTGGCAAACTGGCCTAGCTGTAACTGCTAGCACTGTTGGGTGCGAAAAGGGGTATTGTTGAGTTTGGTTCAGACCACGCTTACTTCCTGATTACCCAAGTCCCAAGGGAATGTGGAAGGAATGTGGCTTTTCTGCATTCAGATATCCTTCAGTTGGGGAAGATTATAGTAGTACCATATAGAGCTTGAGGTCCTCCACATCCAAATACATACCAAATGAAGAGAAGATTACATTGGGTTGCATTTTAGGTTACAAATATAAAAGATGCAGCATAGGAAGTCTTGGTGGTGACTTCAAGGATACGCTTAAATTTTTTTTCCTCTTGGAGGTAAAGGTGAATGTGGAAATAGTTGTGACTTTGAAAGGTTGTTTTAGGGGCTGGGGATGTGGCTCAAGTGGTAGCATGCTCACCTGGCATGCGTGCAGCCCGGGTTCTATCCTCAGCACTACATACAAAGATGTTGTGTCTGCTGAAAAACTAAAAAATAAATATTAAAATTCTCTCTCTCTCTCTCCCCCTCTTTCCTCTCTCTTAAAAAAAAAAGTTGTTTTAGCTGAGTTTGGTTGGAAGAGCCACCTCTATCTTGTTGGCATTGTATGAACCCGTATGTGATTATATAAATAGCACTGTCCTTTTTTTRTTATGTTGTGGGCTGTTGGGCATGGGAGAGGGAATGGCAAAGTTGCTGACACGGAGGGAACAAGATGGTGGTTTTTAGTTAAATTTCTGCAACTTTCAATTTCTGAAAAATTTTTAAAGTTTTATACCTTTTTTTTTTTTGGTACTGGTGGTTGAACCCAGGGATGCTCTATCTTTGAACTACATCCCCAACTCTTTTTATTTTTTATTTTGAAATAGGGTTTTGCTAAGTTTCTGAGGCTGATCTCAAGTTTCCAATACTCCTTCAGCCTTCTGAGTAGCTGGGATTAGAGACGTGTGCTGCTACACCTGCCTACAGCCTAACTATTTTTGATCAAACATTTACAATTTAGCTGTTGGCCTTGATTAGGATTATGTGTGGCAGGAAACACATTTAAATAAAGGAGAGAAAATGGCATAATATTATAGGTAATATATTTTTTTTCCCAAGAAGAATCCTTTAAACTCAAATGTTCTTGAAAAAAATAATAACTTTTATTTGGAATACTTGTTTAACACATAAATTGGATGAGGTTTTAAATGCATTTTACTTTAAGTCTCCATTTAGAAGCTAGTGTTGCATTTTAATAGTAAATAGTAAAGAATAGGAGGGTGCCATGACCACCAGTGTGCCCATTAGCCATCATGTATAAACCCTCACTGTGGGCCAACTTCAAAGTCTTAGGATATCACAAATTTTTTTTTTTTTTTAAATTTTTGTACCAGGAAATGAACCCTGGGTACTCAACCACTCAGCCACATCCCCAGCCCCTTTTTATTTTGAGACAGGGTCTTGCTGAGTTGCTTAGGGCCTTGTGTGCACCAAGCTGCATGGCATAGCTAATTTCAATGTAGAACATTTAAGCACAGGTATGCATAAYAGTACCCCTTCTTTATAGGTATGGTACAGGTGAATCTTGTGTAGTGCCTTTCTCACACATGCAGATACTTGAGGTTTCGATTGTTATGAATTAACAAGCAAAGGTATCTGTGGAGTGCCCATTTTAAGATTAGCAATATGTAACTGTAGATGGAGGGATTTTACTTGATTCATTGTTTTCTCAGTGCAGCTTGAAAGATTTTTTTTTCTTTATTTTTGTACAAGGAATTGAACTGGAGGTCACTCTACTATTGAGGTATATCCCTGACCCTATTTATTTATTTATTTAGAGACAGTGTCTTGCTAAGTTGCTGAGGCTGGCCTCAAACTTGGTATCCTCCCTCCTAAGCTTCCCAAGTCACTGAGATTATACCTACTTTACAAGCCTCCCCCCACAGATGATCAAACCCACACAGGCTAGACAAGTACTCTCCCACCAACCCACAACCCAAGCCTGAAAGATTTGTTACTTTGGCCTTCATATTTAGAAAC